ACCATCCAACCCCTGAGTAGCAGCCGCTGGAGACCCCAGCCTCTGTGAGCCTGATTGGGTGCCCTTTTGAAGCCCCCCACTTCTCGGTGCCGGCTGCCGCTGCCCCTGCTCCGACGGGTGGCAGAGAATTTCGGAATGCTATCGGAATGGGACGGCAAGCCAGAACTCCCAGGAATCCCCCACCAAAGGGTTTGCCTGCCGCCTCTCTACTTGTGCGCTCAATGCCACCTTCCTCTCTCGGTGGCAAACCAAACCCTTTGGCTGCAGAAACCCGCTCAGAGGCTCCTTCTGCTTGCAACAAGGACAGGTCCGGCAGGCACCAGCCTGTGGCCTTCATTACCCACCAAGGAAAAACTCGGGGCTAATTCCCCCCACTCTGTTTTTCAACCTGGAGAAGCCTGGGTGGGTCGGTGGGTAGAGTCACCTTCTCCCCTTGCAGCGTGGCTAGAAATGGCTGCTAGATTGGCGGTGGCACAAGCTATCCACCCCCCACCCTCCCTCCCCGCTGCAGGAGCCTCTTAAGGAGCCTCATGGCTGTGGACTCCCACCATGGATCCGGCAGGATGGCAGGTGTTCAGACCTGGCTGGGAGTTTGAAATGCTGTAATCCTCCCGGGGAAGATTTCCGCATTCATCTGCTAATAGGTTTAAAAGGAATTATGGACAAAACTTTCTCCACGCTTACGGGGAATCTGCCTATATCCGATTCGGCAAGGGGTTCGCAGAGGCAGGACGAGGGCTGGCCGGCCCGGCACGGGGTGGGCGGACGGAGGTTTGCCCCAAGTAAGCCTGGCCGCAAGACCTGGTTGGTGTCTCCCCGGACACTGGGCTGTTTCCCCCCAGGAGGGGCTCCCAAGCTCACCTGAGTGTCCCCCAACCAGGGCGGAGTGGCCTTTTTGGTTTCGGTTTTTGCCCCAAGGCCATTGCAGCATTTGGGCCGAGAGAGGCAGAAGCCTGGCTGATGCTCGCCCCCCCCCCAAAGCCAGGCCGCAATTGATGGTGGTGGTTGCCGCGATTGCGTGGCGGCTTCCGCTCTTAATGAAATTTTACGGCAGGTGGGAAGGATGCGACATCCCATCCCAGGAAGGCTTCCTATTTATTCATTACCGTTATTTATGGCTTGCCTGCCTTCTTTAGCAGCTCCCGGCGACTAAGCCGCCACCGCAAGAGCAGCAGCAGCAGCAGCCAGAGCCGGAGCAGCTGCCTCGGCCAGCTTGTGTCCAGAAGGCAGGGTCAAAGAGGAAGGCGGGCGAGGCGGCTGGACCGCCAGGGCAAGGTCTGGCTCCAAGCTCAGGGGCCTTTCCTCTGGGTCTGACCTTCCCTCTTTTTTGCGGTGTGTGTGTGTCAGGGGGGAAAGCACATATAGTACGGAGGAGGCCATGCCAGGATGGAGACTGCTCGGGGCTCAGCCTCCCCCCTTTGAAACAGGCTATGCAGAAGGTTCTCTCCACCTGGTCTGCTCGCCCTTCTCCGGGAGGCTGTCCTTGGACAGACCCCCTCCCTCCTCTCTCCCCCTCCCTCGAGACCCTTCTTCTTCCCCTCTGGGCCTCGGCTGAGCACCCCCTGCGCCTCCATCACTCGGTGGGACCCCGGGACGCTCCGGCAATCTGTTCTGTGCTCTTCCAGCACCGCCATGTTCTGCACGGCTGTTGGCCTGAGGCTGGCGCTCCATGAACAAGAAACCGGTGCGAGCCGCCCAAGACAACGGCGCTCGGCTTTTGTCCCCGGGATCGAGAGCCGCAGGGGCCCCACACAACCGGAGCGGGCGGAGTGCTTTGTTTCATTTGTGGTGTTTCACATCCAAAAGCCTTGCAGAAGCATCCTGAAAATACTTGTGCGGACCGAAGAGGGAGGGGGCAGGACCGGAAAGAGGGTTTGCTGCTCCACCGTAAACAAGCCCTCCAGTCATCTGGATCCAGGAACTCAGCAAGGCCAGGAAGAGAAACTGAGGCTGCTTGGGACTTGGATGGGAGACCACCGGGAGGGGGGGGGAAGCAGGGTGCTCCTCTGGGGAGGGAACGGAGCTCAGAGGAACAGCGTGGGTCCGGGTTCAACCTCCAGCACCACCAACAAGGAGGGTGAAGGAAGGAACCTGCCGGAAACCCTGAAGACCAACTACAGTTGCCAGTCGGTCAGAGTCAGTGATGCTGCCAGCCAGAGTCGGTCGGTCAGAGTCAGTGATACGAGGCTGGATGGACCAGGAGTCTGACTTGAGGAAGGAAGGCCGTCTTTTGAGTTCTTTCCTGAGATCCTTAGTTAGACTTGAACCCAAGGGCTTGTTTGTCTCCAGCACCTGTCAAGCAGGCCCAGCATCTTGGAGAGCACCCCTTAAGACAACCGTGGGGAGCTCTTCTGCCTCCCCCCCCCATGGCACCCTCTTTGGAAAAGTGGAGGCGAGGGGGACTGAGGGAGACCGTGAGAGGCAGCCACAAAAACACGAGGCGTCTAGCACTTTGCCCCTCTCTCATCTGGAGCGTCACTCGGCATCCGTCGCAGGGAAGAGAGACGGAGATGGCTTTGTACTCTGATAAGCCACGGCATTTCAGGTTTTCTATAATCCCCTCAAACAGCCCTTTCAATTCAGGAGAAGAAACGGGAAAGGCGGGGGGGAAAGGAGGAAGAGAACGAGCAAGGACCTGCAGGATTAATTCCCCCAAAGCTTTGGGAGAGGGCCGAGATTCGGAGTGCGCAGGCGGCTGGAACACCTGGCCCGGCGCCCCTGAGGAGCCCCCTGGGAGGATCAGCTCACCCCCTGCCTCCTTCATCTTCATCTAAGGGAGGGTGCAAACCATTTCTCATCGCCGCTGGGCCATGTGCATGCGTGCGTGTGGGGGGGCATGTAACACTGCACCCCAAATCAGGCTGGAGCATGGCATCAACCCAGGAGTGCAGGCAAGGACAGAGACCTCTCTGGCCAGCTGGTCCAGGATAAAATCCCGGGCGGCCTTGTGGCGTCGGCAGCCTCTCTGGGCAGCTGGAAAGGATCTGGCCTGCCTCCCAGATGTGATCCATTTGTGAGTAGCTGGAACTCGGGCATGCTTTGGCACAAGGGCGACTTCCGTGCTACGGAGGGAGGAGGAAAGTGGTGGATTAGAAGGCCTGATGGAGGAGAGAGACCCTTGCTAAGGGCCAGGAGCTGAGGGGTAGCAGGCAGGACGCAGCCGCCACGCCAGCCTCCTTCCCTGTGGCCTTAGAGGAGAGACCCAGCGAGGGCAGACCTGGCTGGGATCCAGTGGGGACCAAGGGCTGGGCCTGGCACGTCGGCCTCTCCGTCTAAGCTTGGTTAAAGAACAACGGTCATGCAGCAGCCGAGAGGGACTCTTTCTCTCCTCTAGCGGAGACCGGGCAGTGCAGGCACCCGGCCGTGGACTCTTGCTGTGGGGCAGCCGGAGACAGGGGCTGTTCACGTCCACCATGTGGGTCTTCCTCACCCATATAAGTGGCTGCAGGATCTTCACCGTCCAAGAGAATCGGGGAGAAAGCAGTGGTGTGGTTGGGATTGAGGCTGCTCCACGGTCCCCCTTCGAGTCTCACTGGTGCCAGGAGGGGAAACGGTCCCCGGCCGGGCCCAGCTGACCCCTGCCAGGAAAGGGCCAGAAAGCGGCCGATGGGGAGAGGAAGGGCAGGGGGCCGCGCAGGCAGCTTCCTCCATCTTTCCGGCTGCCTCTGCAGCAGTCAGGCCGAGGACCAGAATAACCGCCTCCAACCCCGGGGAGCCAACAGGAGGAGCCTCTAAGCCTCTCTGACAATTTGTTTTTTTCACAGCAGCGATAAGGCAGGAATGTTGCCAGCCTGCAAATCTCTCCAAATGAGGCCCAAATCAGCTGCTCCCTTTTGGTTGGGTTGTCATTTAAAAAGGTGGAATAAAGGGGAGGCCCAGGACCGCAGAAAACGGCCAGCCCACCCCCCCCCCAAAAAAATAATAAAAGCACAGCAGCCTCCTCCTCCCAGCAGGGAAACTGAAGAGAGAGCAGCCCCAATTCTGGAGAGCTGGGAATCACGAGCTGGGCAGGAAGGTCCCAGGGTGGAAAGCCCCCAAACAGCTTTCCTTAGAGACGGCAACACCAGGCAAAAACCAAAACTTGGCCGAGTGGGGACACCCACGGCCAGCAGGAGAAATGGAAACACCCCCCCCCCCCCCGCTGAACTGGAAGTGGCTGCAGAAAGGCTGGATGGAGTCTAGCCCTGCTCCCCCTTTCCATGCCCACGGACTGCTTGGGCTTGGCCAGCCTTCAGAAGGCAGCCAGCTCTTTGGCTGCCCCCCCTCCCCTCACTTTGTTCTCAGGACCGGCCCCACTGTGGTGGGTGGGTGGGCCCCCTGTGGCCCCCTGATGGCTGGGAGGCGGCCCTTGGGCCAAACCCAAGGCCCCTGCAAGCCGCCCCTCCAGCCCCCTGCTAAAACTTTCTCTCTCTTTTTCTGGCAGCAGGGGGAGACCAAGTGGGGGGGGGAGAACTTGAGACAATGGGGGGGCAGAGATTTGGGGCTCTACCCACAGGCCGTACCCGAGTGACATATCCTTTCAGGAAGAACAAGAAGTTGCCCCACCTCTGCTTTGCACCCAGGATGAGCGGAAAGGACCAAGGTAGTTTTCACAATCTTGTGTGTTTCTACTCGGAAGAACCCGTTTCAGTTCAAGAAAGCTCCCTTCTGGGTCAGTAGGTGTGTGTGTGGGGGGGACTGCAGTCCAGTCTGCAGGCAAGGGGGACATAGAGGTCAATTTCGGCTCAGGACCCCCACCCCCTTGGGAAATGGCCCTCTCAACGGGGCTCACCACTGCTGTGGGCACAGAGGGTAAGACGCTTTGGATTCTGTTCTGGCAACCTTCATTGCCATGGCAGAACCGGCCAGCCAAGACGTGACGGAACCAACGCTATGAAGGACCAGGCGCTTCACCAAATAGGGAGCGAAAAGGGAGGGGGGAGGGTCCAGAGCAATCCGCTCCACTCCGAGAGATGGGTCTCACCCCCCCCCGGCCCTGCAAGGAGAGAATCAGCTGAGAATGTTCTTAAAAAACCCCAAAGCAAATATCTTTAATATCTCAGACAACTTCTTCAGAAAGTCCCCTCGACAGTTCAGGGAAGTGGCCGAAGCCACGCACGAGCCACGCGCAGTGTCCTCAGAAATTCTCTAGCAGATCCAAAATCCGCTTCTGCTCGCTCTCCTGGAAGTCCGGGTTCTTGCCGTCTCCGATATTCTCCGCGTACTCTGCAGAAAAACAAAACAGAACCGAAGCTAAACTTTCCTATGGGGCAGGGAGAGAAGTCCTAATGGGGGATGCTTTGCCCCCTTGTGCGCACACCAGCAGAAAAAGCAGAGCGTTAGCCCCAGGCCAGAGTCTGAGAACCGGGAGAGATGGGGGCAGGATCCAAGACCCAGGGCCTGGCACTGGGGGCAGAGTCAGGGCAGAGTCAGGAGCACCACGGGGCATAAGAAGAACGACAGGCAGCCTACAAGATAGTCCATTTGCTGGGAAAGGTCTCCTCCAGTCTCAGAAGCCAGAGAGAGAAGGTCTGAGCCTGCACGTTGCTTACATCCAAGGTCGAACGGCGGCTGAGGAGGAAGGGGCCCCTGCAGGAGAGCCTCAGTGGGTGGGAAGGTTCAGTGGCTTCAACCCCACCACCGCCTGCCACGTCTCCCTCCGTGTCAGTTCCGCCTGCCCCTCTTTGCCCTACAGGCACCTTAGGTGGGGAGCACATTAAGTCTTGAGCTTCCTTGAAGCAATGAAGGCTGGTCGTTCCTACATCCCCCACCCCACACAAGCTAAGAATAAAAGCCATTCTTCTCTACGCTCCGGGCCCAAGAGGATCACCTGGAGTCGGCATCCCAACCTGCTCCCTTTCTGGGATGGGAATTCTTTCCCGAGGGTTCAAGACTGCTTTCCCTTCTGAAATGGTGCTGGGGAGGGAGAAATGCCCAGAACTCGCCAGCAGTTCAGGTCCCTGGGGCCACTTCCTGCAAGAGGAGCTACCTCAGATTCCCACGGCCGGGGCACACCAGCGCCAGGCCTTCCGCTGCACAAAGGACGCCGGTGCGGGCCACACGTGGCACCACTCCATCCCCAAAGTGAGCAGCGCGGTCTGCACCCAGTGCTCAGAGGGCACCGCACAGCCACAGGTGCCCATGAATATTCGTAGAGCGGGTCCGAGAGGCTCATCCAATCCTTTTAATAGGCATCCTAAAACAGGAAAGGTGGCTGGATGGAGGGTGTGGGGGGGCAGGGGAGGCTCCCTTTCACAAACCGCACACACATAAACAGAGCAGAAAACGAGCAAGAGGCTGCCATTAAGCACTTAATTGGGAGGGGGGGCATTAATATGCATGAAGTGCCCAGCCTGGCTGGGGTGGCTTCTCCTGCTGGCACTGCAATTAGGCATCCTAAAACAGGAAAGGTGGCTGGATGGAGGGTGTGGGGGGGCAGGGGAGGCTCCCTTTCACAAACCGCACACACATAAACAGAGCAGAAAACGAGCAAGAGGCTGCCATTAAGCACTTAATTGGGAGGGGGGGCATTAATATGCATGAAGTGCCCAGCCTGGCTGGAGTGGCTTCTCCTGCTGCCACTGCAATGGCTGTGTGTGTGTGTGTGGGGGGGCTTCCTGAAGAGGAAGCTTCCTGCCAGCTGCCCAGGGACTGGCATGTGTATGTGTGTGTGTGTGTGTGGGGGGGTCTTCCTGAAGAGGAAGGTTCCTGCCAGCTGCCCAGGGACTGGCGCGGTGACACCGCCAGGGGGAAGAGAGAGAAAAGGGTTCCAACCCTGAGCCTCACCAGCCGAGGACACGGGCAAGCCCCCTCCCTTCTCCTGTAGAGCCCCTTACGGTTCTCGCTGCCCTTATGATCCTTTTGGCCTTCCTGTGACAGTGACCCCCCCCCCACTTGGGGCAGGGGGAAAGGGTTGTGAGATAAACAAGGGCTTGTTTCTTGCCTCTAAAACACACAAGAAAAGCCATTTCAACAACTGCTTCGCCCTGCTTGAATCGGAGACACGAGGGGCCTCTTGAAATGCCGGGTTGTTCCACGTAACCGTTATGAATGAAAATAATAATGGTCACAAAGGCGGTGATGAGGGTGCAGAAACATCCCCATACAGCCTCCCACACACCTGGAAGCATCAAGGCCCATTGAGGTGTGTGTGTCCCCCCCCCCCACAGAAAGCACAAATAGGGGGTCCTGATTTGCCCCAAGCCTGACTCTATCAAAAACCTGCCACTCCATAGAAATATTTTTCTTCTAGAGGAATTTGTGAAAGATAGAAAACGCCATTTGGACCCCAGAAGCCTTGCAGTGCAGTGGTTAAACTGCAGTACTGAACCAAGGTCTCTGCTCACAACCTGAGTTCAATCCCAATGACTCAGGCAGCAGGCTCAAGGTTGACTCAGCCTTCCATTCTTCTGAGGTTGGCAAAATGGAGTACCCAGCTTGGTGGAATGGGGGTGGGCAGAGTGAAGCCTGCGTAAATAAGTTGCAAACCACCCGGATGAGTGCTCTAAGCCCTATAGGGCAGTATGTAAGCAACACATACATGCCCCCCTTTTAGTTCTCACACTGACTTATAAAAAGCTAACATCTATGGAGTAAAACCAATTGACATCACACCCACTGAAATCAGTACCACGATCACCCTCTTTTTGGAGGACGGACATGCTCTCTATGCCCAGAAAAGCCTGCTGGTGAGGCTGCTTCGTGGCAAACACCACCAAGACCTAAATCAAGCCACAGCACGAAATGGGCACTGGACAGCTGTACTTCTCCGACTCTCATGAGCCACATTTGTAAGTTCTGAATACAAGGCGCTGAACCCATCGCCCTGTTACAGAGAAAAATTTAGGGGGTCAACACAAGAACACAACTCCATGCCACTTGGGGTACCAAATGTCACAGAGCAGAAGTCGTGTAACACAGCAGTGGCAGGCTTCATTCCCCAAAGCTGGCAGCAACAATCAACATGGATTTTCCTCCATAGATTCAAACTGGCTTGGCTGGGTAAGAGCATTATTTACTTCTGTGTGTGTGTGTCCAGTAATATGCTTAAGGGTTAATGATTCCTTAAAGTTATCATGCTTTTTTTAAAAACAACAACTTTTAAATGTGTTTTAGAGGTGAATTCTCAGTCTTGTTTTTTTCAACATAAACTCCTTTATTTTTGGATTCAAATATTATTTAAGTTCTTGTCTGTGACATTTATAGCTAAAAGCGTACAAGCGGAATATTTTTTTTCTGATTTAATTCTGTCTACAACATAGTTTTGTTTCTGAGTGTACTTCTGTCTGCATCTTCTCCCAGTCTAAGAATTCCGGGTGGCAATTCATTGTTTAAGCATTTGGTTGTGCCTTCTGGTTTTTTTTTTTTTCAGAGCTATAAAACTTTTGGATGTTTTGAATACTGGGGATTTTATTATTGTGCTTATGGAACACAGAAGCAATGTAGATAAATAAAGCTGGTAGAATAAGACAAGCGGATGTTTCCAGGAATTATTGCAACAACGATAAAGAGACTTATGCCTTGATACTCAGATGAATTTTGATAAGATTGTCTGATGGTTTCAATCTGCTGAGACTTATGCCTTGATACTCAGATGAATTCTGATAAGATTGTCTGATGGTTTCATTCTGCCGTTAACCCTTTTCTGGATCAATGCCAGCTGGGACAAACACAGGCTCCTCATTTTTTCCTCTATAAAGCTCCGCGTAGCTCTTCGGGAGAGGTCCGGGGTCCAAATCCCTGACCTGACAGGTACGTGCCCCCATCATCCTGCTGGAAAGTGAAGGGTTGGTACATCGAGAAGCACTCCCTAGCAGAGACACTCAAAAGGGATTAGCTCCAAAATTCTAAGTGCTCAGTGGCTTAAGCGCATCTAGCTATGGGGCCAGAGGTTAGCACTTCGAATCCCCAACCCCGGGCCTCCTTGACAGGAGTTGGACTGGATGATCCACAGGGGCTCTTCCAGCTCTGCCGTTATAAGAGGATGATGATTTTGATCCATCCGTCACTTATCCATGCTACTTCTGTGATTAACCTGCGCTGTTCAGATGGCCATTCCCCACAAGAACAGTAGGAAACATAGAAAACAAAGTCAGAAGTTCTTGCAAGGAGAGGTTAATCTAAAACAAACGGGTCTGGAGGCACAAGCAAATGTGGCCACTCCCAGGCTGTTGGATGCTCTCCCTGGGGAGGGGAGGTTGCCCCCCCCACCTTCCCGCCTGTCTAGTGGAAGAAGGCCATCCTTTTTAGGCAGGCTTTTAACCAACTACGATTGAGTCCCTCTACAATGCTATTTTTGATCCTTTTAAGTGTATTTTCTTAAAGCGTTAAAATGCTTTTCAATGAAATTAAATTATCATTGCATAAACTGATCAATTGATTTTTAATGATTACTGTATGTTTATCTCTTTTTTTAAACATTGCAATCTACTGTGTTTCTAGCATGATTTGTTTTAACGCTGCAAGTTGCCTCGGATCCTGTCCTCCCCCCTTCCAAGCAGGAGAAAGGCAGCCTACAAAGGGAATCGATAAACAGATAATAAATAAAACTGAGCTTGGGCTCGCCAGCAGATTCCGTGAAAAGTGAAGGCTGTGATGTTTCAGAGGGGAGAATGGGGGAAAGAGGCTGCCAGGGAACGTCAGCCAGGTTCTCCAGCACCCTGGCCCATGACTCCTCGTGAGCAGTAAGTAGGAGGGTCTTTTGTCACCTCCAGAGGCAGGAAGAAGAGACTCTGAAAGTCAGGTGAGGAGGGAGTCTTTGGCTGGCTCCTGAACCCTCGGGGTCCCCACCCTGACCTGCTCCCACCTGAAAGACCCTCTCAAGACCCCTGCCTGGTCAGCAAGCAGAGACGGGGCGTGGAGGGGTCTGGCACTCTTTCCTGCCTTTCTCCATCTCCACTTAAAATAAATGGAGAGCTTAATTCCCTCCTTTGCATCCGAAGCAATTCTCGGCCCTCCCCAGGGACCCATCAGCTGTCAAGCTACCAGAGAAACCGGGGGAAATATGTAGGCCATAAAAATCAAACTCAAAAACAGGCTTCCAATTAGCATGCAAAAATGCAGGAGGGGGAAGGGAAAGGAGCAGAGCCGGTGGCGAAGCACAAAGCATGGAGTTGCCATAAACTGCCCCCCCCATAGAGGAAACCTCTGGAGTGGGGGGGGCATTTCTGCCTCCCCCTCCCCTGTGACCCTCCCTAAAGACCAGCCCCCTTTCCCAATATCCCCCCAACCTCAGCAGCCGGCCAGAGGAGGGGGAAGCCAAACACACGTGCAACTCCGTGACATGGCAGGGCGGCGCTAGGGAGCCCACCAGAAGCGTGCCAAGATCCAGCCCCTTTGGCCACATGGGCGGGGGATCGATCATGGCTGCCTGCCAAAGGACGCACCCCACACAGTGGGTTTGGGGTGGATCCGCTCACCCTGAAGCAGGGCAGCCCCAACCAGGGTGGCTGAGGACCCCTCCCTCCTCCTCCTCTAGCACAGACCTATCCCGAACGAGCTCTGTGTTCGAAAGTGCACCGAGAGAGCAACTAACCACTCTCCTCGCTGCTGCAAGAAGAACCAGACTCCAGTCCAGGAAGCCAAGAAGGAAGGAGGTCCCTCCCTCTAGCCACAGCGTCTGCCATCCACAATTTCATCCATGGGTGGGGCGCGTGTGTGAATGACAGGACCCCCCTCCCAGGCTCCAGGCAAAGGGCAAAGCACTGGGTACTCCCCCCCCCGTGGCCTCTGTGCTGGAGGCTCACCAGCGGCTCACGGAGGTCCCTTTCAGCTGTTCTGGCTCCTGGTGCATTTTGGGGGGGGGGAGCCTCCAGGTCACTGTTTTCCCACCCCAGGAATTGAGGACTCACCTTTGATGACGTGGCGAACGATCTTGATCGAGCTTCCCCGCATGTTCAGAATCTGATGGACTCGCTGGCGGATCTGGGCCAGACAAGATGACAACACAAACACAGAAAAGGACTGTCATTCAAAGTAGGAAAAAAGGAAGGTGGGGGGGGAGAGAGACAGAGAGCGAGAGAGAGGAAAGGTATACACCACCTTGAACTGGCTGGGAGAAGATTTTATTGGTGGAACACCTGCTGCCCATTCCAGGTGCTCCAAATTCCCCTTCCTAGGCTGCCACCCTCCTCCTTCTCTTCCCAGAGCTTCCAGTCCCAGTCCTGGACACGATTCCAGGTTCCATACAGGAAAACTCAACCCAGATGGTACAGCATGAAATACAGAAACGAAGCTGTACTGAAT